GTACCTTTAGAGTGTACCAGGATCCTGCACACGACGTACTGTGATATACTTTTCACTTCAAATTAATTTTCACTATTTTCGCTGAAGGACTGATTCTGTGAAAATAAAATCAAGCGAATATATTTTACATATCCATACAAAACATACAAAACACAAAAAAAGTTTATTCAGCGAAAATTAATTTGAGCTAAAATAAAGTATTTTACAGTATTATCCTACAGTGATCTTACGATGTTGGTAATTTATTTTTTTTGCTTGCAAACTTTTTAATATATTTTTGTTAACTGAACTTTACTGCAAGTACGGTAATGTCTCTATCATGGTTCAATGGGAATTATTTCATTCTGAATGTTCAGTTACAAATGTAGTCAAAAAATGCCTTTAAAAACTCCTTTTTCCCTCAAAAATTTCCCTCGTGTTAAATAAATCTTGGCCAGTAGATTTGACCTCAAGTGTTGGAGGCACACTTACTATTCTTTGTTAAACCTGTGTAGCTGCTATATCGGCATAATAATTTTCCTAAATCTTGTTTATCTTCGTAGGTTCTGCAGAAATGACATGTTGACGCTACCATCGTTATCAACTGCAAAGGGTTCCGGCTCCCACCGAATTAAGGATTGAAACCCTCGTCATCCAAACTGCTACTGTTCAGGCATGCGTAATATTCTCATTGATGACATCACCAATATGCTGGATTGTTTGAATCCTTGGTTTATCAAATATACCGTGTTTGATTTAACGCTTGATCTCCTGTCGGATTTTCAAAGATTGTCAGTATTATAGAATACATGATAAATATGCGTTTTTGCGTGGGGAGGATAATAATCGTTCATAATACAACTGCCTATATTATTGGTTATGTCTGCTATTCTTTGAATTGTATTTTAAATTTTAAAAATTTATTCTGTTTTGGATTTGAAGCAAATTCTCTTGAAGCTTTATCCGAGTGCAGTGCATGAAACAAAACATTGCAAAGTTGCACGGTTTTATCATCAATATACTGAGAATTTGATTCTTACGTATCAATGTTTGCACTCTCTAATTTGCATAAAATAATTTTCCTCGATTTTATTTGTATTTTGAATCAATTATTCATGCATTATGGATCAAATGTACATTTTAAATTGGCTACAGGTCTTAATAAATGATGAAACAATTTGAAAACAAATACCGTAAAATACTTTATTTTCGTTTGGAATTAATTTTCGCTATTTTCGCGGAAAGAATGATTCAGTGAAAATAAAATCCAGCGAATATTACTTTTTTTCTATACTATATATTCAACTCGCCAAAAATCAGTGAAAATAAATTCCATTCAAAATGCCAAAAAAGTCTTTACAGCAAAAATTAATTCCAGCTAAAATAAAGTATTTCACAGTATGCAGGTATATTTTGTGAAAGAAGACAGTGGTTGACTTTGGCATTCATTCAACTTTAATGTTGTCAGCTGTGACTGTGTTTGACCTTGTGACACAGCTGTTGTTATTGTTATTTATGATATTATTTTTGATTACATCATTCAAAATTATGAATTATGTGTCAATGCTGGTTTGGTATTACAACTCATAATGTAACACTTTGTGTGCCCAATTCAGCTTTTCACAATTCACATCATAAACCTGCATCATTGTTTTTAAAGTTTTGATCACATCGTGTCCATTAGAAGATCCATCTGGTTATAAAAAAAATCATAAAAATGTGCAAAATTTGGATTGCAAAAAATGTGGCGTAATCTCCTACATTTATGGAGATCTTTCACCTGTAAACTTAAGATTTGACCTTGGCAAGAAAAACTTTTTCAGAAAGGCGTAAATAACTCCAGGACCTGACTATTACATTTGAATTTTCAAATTGGGTATTGGTGGGTCAACCATATAAAATGAAGTGGGCGAGAAGATTTGTTAAAACTCTATAGATGTACATTGTCTCTCAAGTCAGGACATGTTTTGTAATAAAAGTTGGTTTTATCACATTGAACCTATTGTATCGTGCCTGCTTTATGAATTGTGTATTCAACACAGAACAAGAACATCATTGCTGAATTCCTTGGTGTCTTAACTTGTTAAACTTCCATATGTTGATGGTTTCCCGGCGACTGGATTCATAGTTGTATTACAATACATCATCTACTTTTACGTAAATCATCTGGTCAGATAAAATGACTAGTTATTGTGCATTTCATATGACTGCATTCTCAAAATGCACTTTGTTTTTGATGTACAAAATGTTACCCAATAGTGAAATAAAAGTGTATATCTGAGCCATTCGTCACAATATCATCTTCAAACTTCAAAGATAGTTGTTTATTTAAAACGCTACAGTCACTGCTTTGCTTAGTGTTCGGGACCTATATCAATGTCTACAAATTACATTGGTTTACACGACATTCGTGCTGCTTGATGATTGGTGCATTAATTCAGTGATATAGTACAAAGTGTTTTGTATTTTGTAAAATATTGATTCTGCGGCCATTAAAATGTAGTGTGATTCTATTGTTAAGACAAACTTCTCCTTCACTTCTTTTCTCAACTCGATCGCTAGAGGGCTTTTAGGATGTACATACCGGTATGGGCTATTAAGAGGATACCTCAAAGTATGCACGAAGACAGTACAGGTGGAGTATCGACCGACGCGCACTAGAGGTCAATGCGATTCTTATTATTATACATCTTTTCCTTCCAAGGATACATCATGGGAATGCTGAAATCTAAAAAGTTTAGAACAAAATCAGCGCACTTCCTTGTCCGGTCAAACCCTGTAAAATACCAATGTATAATGATATTGCATATTGCATACCATGAGCGGCAGTCGTTATGTTACATATATCTCGTTTGCTATGAGTTCACTAAGTGCACTTACAAATTAACCTTTTAGCCAATTCTTTACTATTTATCTGGCCACTACCTGTTGCCTTACTATTGCTTGTGTTTAAGTGCTGCTATGAGGATGGGTATTTGGTATGGACAACTTGTCTCCTTGTGCCAAGCTTTCTGAACATTTTGTGTCTGAATTAAAACTTTCTGAATATTTTGGGTGTGGATTCAACTGTTCTGAACATTTTGAGTCTGGATTCAAACTTTTTGAACATTTTGAATCTGGATTCAAACTTTCTGAACATTTTGGTTTAGAATTCAAACTTTCTGAACATTTTGGGTCTGTATTTAAATTTTCTGAACATTTCGGATCTGGATTCAAACTTTCTGAGCATTTTGGGTCTGGGTTCAAACTTTCTGAACATTTTCTGTCTGGATTCAAACTTTCTGAACATTTTCTGTCTGGGTTCAAACTTTCTGAACATTTTCTGTCTGGGTTCAAACTTTCTGAACATTTTCTGTCTGGGTTCAAACTTTCTGAACATTTTCTGTCTGGGTTCAAACTTTCTGAACATTTTCTGTCTGGGTTCAAACTTTCTGAACATTTTTGATAACTGTCATCCACTGATGGAAAATTCAAATTAGTAAAATGTTATATTTATCAACCCACCCAACTTCACTGCCACCAACTGATTGTACAAGTGAAATGTAGTCAACAAGTCCAGACCATTATGGAAAAGGAAGAAGGGCCCTCGGGAAAATTAACCAGGTTACCCTGGTGAAATATTCACTACCATTATGAATTAGAGGTGTTTTTATGGTTAAAATAAGTAATATTTGAAGGATTCATGAAAGAACAATTTTAAGTTTTTATGAGCTTATTTTCGAGATGCGCTTGTAATAGAGCAAATACAATACTACAAACTTTGATATCTTTTCTGTAATGAAAATCTCTCTCCTAAATGAGGGTTCCAGTATTTGCACAGTGTTAATTAAAATGACATTAGGGTAAATTTAATTATGAGTTATGGCCATTATAAAATGAGTCACTGTATTAAAGTGATAAAAACAAGTTTATCAGACATCTGGCGTGTTATAGGTAAGGCCAGACTTTTATTATCCCTTGTTTCGCGAACCCGCCGAATGAACAGGAGCCGAAAATGAAAAAAAAAAATTTATTTCAGCGTAATTTCTCGCACCCGCCGAAGTGAAAAAAATTGCTAAAATAAACTTATTTTTATCTTCATTTTTTTCCGCCCGCCGCATAACAAACCCAAGTTGCATTTTCGTAGGAATATCATGATCAAAGTACCAAAGTCTCACGCGGATGAGAAACAAGGTTATACATGGAATAAAATTTGATTTCATTTCTTCTCTCCAACCAATGATCTCACTTACAATTCTTTGAGGATCACACAAATCCTAGCCTAGGTTAGACGCTTTAAACAGAGCCCGCTATACTATTAAGATTTTCAATGCCAAATTCATCTTTTGACACCTTTTATGCCCAATAAATCTGCATAATTGTTAATATGTATTTTGTAAAATCTTGATTAGTAGCTAATTTAGATGATGTACATTTAGTCCAAAACAATAGTGTATCAGTTTATGATGAGAAAAAACGTAATAATTTGATTTTCATCCATTCCAGTTCATAATTGTCATATGTACATTGAAAATAATTCTGTTTGTGGTGTTTTTTTTTTTTTGGAGTTCAGAAATGATCTCTAACATTATCTTGTTTCACGTGAGCGTAAACAATTGACAAACCATTAACTTTAAAAAAAAAAAATTAATTAATTAATTAATCTAAAATTATTATCAGCCATTTTAGGTATATATCGACCCTAGTAAATATAATATCCACGTAATTGTTACTTCATTCGAATATAAATATTGTAATAGTGACCCTGCGGGAATATGGTGTTATGGAAAATGGGATCACCACAACAAGCAACGTCGCCCATCCCACAGGTTGGTTGTTTCGACCACACACCTAGGTGGTCTTATTAGAAAGTGGTTACACAATTTGTAATATTTGATGGAAACGCTATTATAGTCAGGTAAATAGATTCAATTTACATTATATATTATGTTTTATTGTGGAAAATGTCGGCATGGTGTAATAATATTATAATTTCTAACAGAGACACAGGCGTCTTGTATATTTTCATTAAGTTAAGGCGCCTAAATAGCAGAATCATTTGGGACGTGGTTTATGCAGCAGGACGGCGGTCAATAATAACAACGATCCATGAAAGTGCAACATTCGACAAGAAATACCGCCCCAAATATGATTCAGTTATAGCTTGAAGTACGCTGGAGTTAGGAGCACTGTCGAAAGTTTTCGTGTCAGTCTAAAAGTCTGGTTAAGCTTCTGTTTACAAGTACTGGTATCGGGGAAAGTACAAGTGTGCGAATTGTACAAGTGTGGATACAAGCGTTTCGTCTGTCAAATGAACCATGTCAAACTCCTAAAAACTGCAGTACCGCCGGTGTATGGTAATTTTCCAGACATTCCCCCCTCTCGTTTAACCGAGTCTGTGGTTGTGGACTGTAATCTTTAATGATCTGTCTAGTTGCGTGAATACGAAAAAAAAATGTCGCGAAATGAAACTAATGGCATCACCGTTCCAATGGACACGTATGGTTCCACTGACGATACGGCTTCATTTATAAACAAGGACCAACTGATGATGGTACGTACAGTTGTTCAATTTATTCTATACACTCATGTAAAAAAAAAACGTAGCTGACAATCTAAAATATACATTTAATTGAGGATTTATTAATAATAAGGGCATGTTCTGGCTGTGGAAGTGTCGTTTCATACTTTCGTAACATAAATGCATATTCAATGATGTGGATCCACCTGTACTCGTACATCGGAATTCCAATATGCCTTATTCAGCGCTACATTTCCGTAGACTAAACGATTCTATTACTCTTCGTCAAACCAAACACGATCGTTCATTGAAAATCGTGTAAATAAAAAAGGTTTCAAAATCCGGGTTTGAAAGTGAGGCATTGTATTTTTTGATGTACTGTATCCGATCCACTGTGCAGACCTATTATTAACCAAATTTGCTAGCACACATTGCGTTTAAATACAATTTCCATGCATTTAAATAAAACAACCGTGACATTCAAGGTAGCTAAACAGTGCAGATCCGTAAAATCATCATTTTATCATGTTCTGCTTTTAGTCAGTTTAATGCCCTGTACACTACCTGTCGGTTAATAATTAATAACCGATGTTAATTTCTTTAATGGTGGGGCTCTTAAAAGGGAATTTGTTCAGCGAGGGTTAATGTTTTCCTAATGACTGCTATTTTTATAATTTGTCATTTTAAAGATATACTCACTCTAGAATAAAAAAAAATTATTCAACTTTGCTTTTGAGTTAATTCTGATTAAATGACCAGTGAATGTTGGGTTGTATCCTCTATATCAAAACAGAGTTCAAGTTTGTTCTTTATGATGGCACTAAATTATTCACTCAAATCAAGAAATTGTGTAGCAGTGAAAAATTACCTTTGGGAGGGAGGGGGGGCATTCACATATAACTGTTTGAATGCCCAAGTCAAATTGTGTCTCCTTTCGCAAAATAAACCTGCATATAATTTTTTCCACCTTAAAAAAATGATGACAATGAGAAATTATGCTCATATGGTTCACAAAATTATAGTTATACAAAATGTAGTAAAACATGTAAAAATGTGCTAAATCTTTAGAAAAAATGTTAGGGGAAAAATTACATTTGAAGGTCTTTTGAGTGCCAAAATCAACTTTCACAGATTAATTTCCTCATGATTGTTAGAAAAAATACATAAAAATCAGCACAATGTGGCTCCAACATTTTGGCAAACAAAATTGTAGCATTCAAGAGTCATAGTTCTTGTGAACATGCACTTGAATTATTAAATCATGATTATTTCTGATGGTGTCCTAATGCTGTGAGATCCAAAGTCAACATTTGTCAATATTCACAAATCTAAACAAACATATTGAAAAAAAAAAAAAAATTAATTAATACCTGTAGACAGCATAAAAGTATTAAGTCCAAAATTAACAAGAATTCCAGAAAAATAGGTACAAATTTGAAAAATATAGTACCAAAATTATGGCGGGAATAATTATAGTACTCAAAGGTTAAGGCATCACAGTATGCAGCACTGTTCAGATGTTAGATAAATATACTTTCACAAAAAAACATGTTTCTGTTCAATTTGGGGGGTTGCATTCCTGTTTATGTGTGTAACAGTGGGTGTGTGTAAAAAAAACATCAAAACAAAACTCCACATGATGGTAATTGGATTTATAGGTATTTATATTATTTAAGGGTATGTAATTTACATTAAGAACTTTGTGTATGTGATGGTACCATGCTGTTAAGACTAGATGCATGGAGGTGTGAAAAATTGCCTAGAACATAGGTATGCTCATTATGTATCCCTGGTAATTAGTTGTCTTAATTTTGCTATTTTTGCATTCCATTTATATTAATAGATATTTACAAATATCACAATTCAAACTGAAACAAGAGGTTTCTATTGGCAGATGGAATAAAAAAAACATTTTCAATTAATTATTGCACACTGCACTCTGATTGTCTGGTTGGATTCATCTGCCATTTCTTAATAGATATGAAGGGGAATGGGTTTGTTGTGTTGATAAAATAATTGTAATTTAAAAAATGTGAATTTTCTCTAAATATGAAAATAGTAAAATTAAAATCACAGGAAAACCTAATGCTTTTACAGTAGTGATTAGTGTGCCTGTGTTCATTGTACGGCTGACAGAAGAGTACGTGCCCAACTAGGTCACTCAAGTCATTAATTAATAATTTTATACATAATGTAAATATCAAGTAAATTTAATCTCATCAGAAATCATATACTGTTAGGAGTGAGTGGTCACATTTTACTGACATTTATTTTACGCAGCAAATGGTGATGCACTGGCCACTTTATTGTATAAACTGAATTTAATCTTGTTAAGAACGTACACCGTACATTCATTTATTTTACATACATTTATTTATTGGATATGCACTACACTTGCCTCTATTTGGCGTCAATTAACTTTGACAGCAAGGATCCATGTCCCAAATACTACTCAAATAAAAGTCAAGTTTGAATAGAAAACAAGCTCAAAATTATGCAAAATTACAGAGTAAAAATGCTGATCTGATTATGTTATATTTTAGAAAAACAAAAAACAAGATCGAGTTTCGTATCCGGCTCACATTCATCAATGCAACCTAGGCACTTATAATCCTCAATATGGATAACATTATTAATATTGTATGTTCTAAATAGTTGGACTATCAGGTTAAAAAATTATGAAAAAAAAGAGTAAACTAAATAAAATAAAAAAGTGAAAAGCTCACATACTTAATTTACTAGTAAAATTTTTAAATACATTTTAATTACTGTATGCAAATGGAGTTGTCAACCTATTAATAAGAGCACACTAAATATTATTTCGCAATATGCCTCTACCTCTGTTTTTTTCTCTATTGTTTGCCAACATTTTAATAGTTTAACCTACCCTCTTCTTTCTAAACCAGTTTTTAATAGCATTACTGTTACCATAGTAACGATATTGATCTGTCAATATTCTTCTGTTTTCGCTTCTACTTGTGAGTTGAGTGAACCACTTCAAAATATTTGGGGGTGTATCAAGTTAATTATTATTACAAATTGGACTATAGTTTAACATTTTTCAAATTGTTGATTTTTTTGGAGTCTGTAATCATTGTAATCCTGTTAAAGCGTAATAATCGTCGCTCCATGTTGTGTTTTTGATATGGGACTCATAGCAACATAAACAACCATGTGAAATGCATTGTTTTATAATACATGAAGTGCGGTGCGGTGCATGGGGACTGTAGTGCTTGAAAAATGGAATCAGCTACATGTAATGCACTCTTGACACTGGAACTTCAAAAAATTAGTTTTTAAATGTATGTATTTTGCCCATTTCCCTATCCGCAAATGGGATTTAATGTTAACAAGAAATAACAAAGTCTTTGTTTTCTTGGAAATAAGTTTAAGTGTACCCTTTTTTTTGTTTGCTCTTTGATTGGTGGAACCCAAACGCTAAAGATCTACTATTGAAAGGATCATATGTTTACTGTCATAATGGGCCACTATTACAAACAATCAGTTTGAAGGTATTTAATAATAATTATATACATTTTTTTTTATTTTGATCTTTTTGTTTCTGCATAAAGTTTATAAAAACTCTTTAAATGTCTCTAATTTATAAAATTTGGAATCAAGCAGAATGTAAGACGGAGACTAATTTAAACAAAAAAAATTTGTTATCGCTGGATAAATTTGTATCAAATCTCTTGTGTATATTAAAGCAGTACTGACAAACATAGTTCTTTGAATATCTATTGATTTCCCATGAGGCCTAGCTGCTGATTCCTGCTTTGTCATTCGTCACTAATACATGTATAAAAAGTCGCCATGGCAAGAATTAAAATAAAGAATGAATTAATGGTCTACAGAAGTTTATTTTGTAACTATATTATTTTGATCCGTGATTGCTACTTTCTTACCAACTCAAACTGAATTATTGTTTGTTGAAAGCGTTCCTTGCGATATCCTATATACCGGTAGTGTAAAATGGTTTATTATTCACAGGGTTTTAATTTTGCTTATTTCGCTGACCAGTAAATGCGCTAAATTGAATTCCAGGAAATATGTAAAATTGAGCATAGAACACATTATCTGAATGATAAAACCGTGAATTTAAAACCCACTGAATATGCCTGAAATGCTTAATCAGTGAAATTTAAACCCAGTGAAAATTAGTCATATTTCAGTAACTTTATTAATATTGGTATAAATTTTTTTTCCTAACTTACCAAATGAACCCAGATGATAGTCTTGCATAATTGAACCAATAATTCATAATTTAAAATACTGTAGAATACTTTATTTTAGCTAGAATTCGCTAGAAAGACTTTTTGGGTGTTTTGTATGGAATTTATTTTCCTTGATTTTTGAAAAGTTGAATGTAAAATATAGGAAAAAAGGTATATTCACTGGATTTTATTTTCACTGAATCACTGAAAATTAATTCCAAGTGATTTTCATTTGAACGTCTCACTAACACCCCAAATTTGCCATTGGTTTATCCCTCATAATTACATATTTTCACTTTGCATAAATTTATTGTTTTTCATACAAAATCTTACAATTTATCATTGACACCCCAAATTTTCTATTGGTTTATCCCTCACAATGGCTTATTTTCACTTGTCATAAATTTATTGATATTCATACAAGTCTTTGAGTTCCTCACTAACAAATTCAATTCCCAGTATACAAAGTACATCAGGTGGTATTCCTCTGTAGATTTACAGGAATTAAAATATCAGAATTCAAATAATGAATAGTTAAAACCGTTCCTGTCTCGAGTTCTCTCAATGACCTTTGTTTTAAGTTTAAATCTTTTTTTATTATTTATATATAAGGCGTAGATTATTCATGGCTCATCTGATTTATTTGCTTCCAGTATTCTTTCTAATTGTTCTGGGCACGAATAATAGAATAATTTGACCTTTTTGGTTGTATACTCGTGTAGTCTGCGACTTTTGACGACTGTTCGCTAGAAATTGGAGCAAACGTCCTAGCAACAAAATCATTTTGACAGCAATCAAACTAACATTTTAGTACATTAT